GTAAAACAGCTATGATAGGTATCACTGCTGTGCAGACCACAGCACGTTTAGGCTGCTGATCCCAAATAAGGTGCCAAAAAGGCAAGGAAGCTGCACTTACCTCTGCAACAACCCTCCCAGGTCCCATCTCACAAGGTGGTCCCCCCTTCAGCCCCATGGAGTTAGCTATAACTAGCGATAAAACCATATAACTGGGGAAAATTCCAGCAAAAACAAGCAGAGCAGCCGTTCTGCCCGGCAGCACAGGCACCGAAAGCACAGCCAGTCCTGTGCCCTGTTCTCCGCTCAAGGGGGGTCTCCGAGCCACAGCCCCCTCCAGACCCAGCGCCGCACAGGACAGGTCCCAGGCCCTGCAGACATGTCCTACTCCAGGACCACCATCTCACAAACCTCGCAGCATTCACCGGGGGAGGTTCACAAGTGCAGGAAACACAAATGTCACAGGTGCTTGACCTGAGCTGTGTGATTCCCTGCCAAGGAACAAGCATGACTGCCGCTCTCACTGTCTTCAGGGGAGAGGAGAAAACCAAATTTCTGTGGGGGAGTTTCTCTCTTGCAAGCTCTCCACAGAGACACACTGTCCTTATCCTTGATCCATGCCACCCCATGCATGACTGTTCTGCAGTAGCCACACACACACTTCTGTTCCTGCACGATCCGATTCGTTCCCACTCATACCGCCATTGTGCATCCCCACTTAGAAAAGCTGAGATATGCCCACCGTCGCTTTGCGCACCCATATCACTTACCTGGGATGAAGAGTGTCTCTACCTGGCTGCTACCATCTCCAGAAGTGACCTCTTGCAAGGAAAGCCTCACAAAGAGCTCACAACTGCCCTTACGGCAGAGTTTATTAAATGACCTTAACAGGGGGTAATGGGATGCCAATGTAAAACACCTGATTACAACGTTGGGCAGAGACAGTGAAATGCACTCTTCGGCAGCTCTCAACTCTGTTCCTAGCAGCTCCCACCTGATTTTAATCCCCCAGGTCTCTCTCAGTGCAGCTGGAACAGACTTTCCGCTAACAACCTCAAGCAGGGTGGGACCTCAGAGGAACAACTGGGAGCATCATGTACCCTGTGGGGAGGGTCTCCTCCCTTAACCACTGCCTTTAGAGGCATGATGTGACAGGGTGGGGGGCTTCCCACCACACACCCTGCAGTCCCCTCACCAGCTTTTCAGAGCAGATGTGGTGTGGTGGGACAGGCTGGGGAGCCATCTTCACCCATCTCTTGATGCAGAGCAGTACTCTGCATTGAAGCTTCAAGCAGAAAGAAGAGACATTTTTCCACTCTTCAGAATGAGAAGTGGGGCACTATTTTGTTTCCTGTGGACAGGAACTCCTGAAAGCAAATTTATGGTTTGTCCTTGTGCCTTGGGAAGGTCACTTACACTTAACACTTCACGTTAATACAGGAGGGGACAGATTTTTCACATGCGTCTATTGACCTGAGCAATTCCCTCTTCTATCAGGCTTAATAGGCTTTACTTAATAACAGTGCAGAAACCTGCGGATATCCACTCTCTTAAAGTACAAATGCAGTACATGAACGCAGCCCAAACTGGCACGGCAGAGGGAGGGCTTCGGTTTTAATCTAGCAAAGCTCTGCCTGCTGCTACCCCACTCTCCACAATCTCCCTCCCTACAACCTGCATTCACATTGCATCTCCACCGCCCTGGGCAGCTCCTCACACCTCACCCCCTGCCAGCCCAATGCTGTGCATTCACCCCTCAGCTCCAGGGCTCCAAAATCACCTTACTGTCACCTGGACATTTCTCCTGCGGGCTCCAAAGGAGGGGAGCCTGCTGTGATGGTTGCAACTTCTACTCCCGCTGATACAAGCCATGAAAGAATCACCACTCGCTCCACCTAACTCAACTGGGAAGGAGCAGAAAAGTGCTTCTAGTGAAAGATTCCTCCTGTTCCTCCTCCCCTCTCCCACCGTGGGCTGAGCTGAGCGAGCCGGTTCCCAGAGGAGAGCAGGCAATGCTGTGCACTCTCCCCCTGCTCTACCACCGGCTCACCCGAGAGCATCAGAGATGCTGATCTGTGAAACGAGATACCTATCTCTGAGCACCACGGGGGAAGCAGCAAAGATTAATAAGCCTCAAAATGTTTTACAGCATTTAAATAGTACTGTCACAGATCAAAGACTATCACTCATCTCAGAGAGGCGGGCTCGGTAAGCCTAGAAAGATCATGGACAGAAAGCAAATGCAAGACGCAAGAGAAAGCCTGCAGACAGGAGCCGAGGAAAGCTCATACTTGCCTAGAGAAACCGAAGTGGCCTGAGCCAGAGTCTAACATGTGTTCCTGGAGGAACGAGAGCCAGAAAGACTGCCTGGTTTCACTCAGTCTCAGTTGTGTCTTAGCACAAGAAAACACATTTCATTTTAAGACACCCGCTTACCTTGGAGGTACCTGCTGCTGGGAGCAGCTTAAATCTCAGTGCAAAACCACAACCCTGCCAGATCGCTGAGATAAGGAGCACACTGGGAACCATGTGCAACTGGTGAATAGATTTGAAAAAGCCCCCCAATTTGCACTGATGCCACAGGGACTGCAGAATCACACTCCCTGCACTCTAAGAGCTTTCTTTCTTAAAGCCATGAGGATACTGCATGGAAGTTTGATGGCAGTATCACTTGCCCACACTTGCAGGCAGCGTGGGAGGCCTGATCTATAGGCTTTCAAGCTGCTCGTATAACTATGTCATCTGGGAGGAGGAGGAAGAGAAGGGGACTTTCTATGCAAATCACTACAGTGGTAGCAGTAGTAGCACAGGAACAAAGACGCCTCACGGTAGTATTCCTACTCCCAAGCTCTCCTAGAGGAGCTATCCCATCCTAAAGCACTTTTATTCTCACACGACTTTGGGCAAGACACTCCATGTACATTTCTTTGTTATCACTGAAGTGCTGCAGGAACTAGCAGTAGTAGGACCCCCCTCAGAGGCGTGGGGTGGAATATTCCTCCAGCCTAGGCTGGACACTGAATACTGAGGGTCATCCACAGTACACGCACTACGTGAGGCCAAGAGCTCCAGGGAGGAAAGAAACCCTGTTCTCAGGGATCCCCTGGATACTCCATCCCTCCAAACTCAGTCCGTCGCTATCCCTCCCCAAACCAGGTCTGGATCCTTTCTCCTGAACCTCGCCCCGTGTACCTTGCTGCTGATTCGGGGACTCCCTACAGCACTGTACAAAAACATTGTGCAGAACAAAAAGAAGTCCTCAAGCAAACTCTGACTGATTGAATTTTGAAGGTAAGGAATGCCCTTCTGCAACAGATGTACAACCCCCTCTGCCCACCCCAAACACCAGATCCATCACGGTGAAGGGAAATATTTACACAAGTTAGTAGAGTTCCAGTTAAATATTATGCTTAGCTGTCTAGAGTCCATGTTCTCAGACTATGCCTATGAAATAAAAGATTAAACTTCATAACAATTATGAAGTTGCTCTGCTCACATTCAAAGGGAGTTAAAGGACATTAAAATATTTCTTTGGGTAATATTCCAGTGAAATCGCTCTCTCCCCCCTGGAGAGTTAGAGCTAAAACCTTCTGAACTATCCTGTAAACACACTTGGAAAGGCTAAGAGCTGAGCTGATAACCAGGTAGCACCTCTACTCTGCAGGTTCCGTAAAAAATGCCAGCAATGCCGGAGAGCTTTTTGAAGCAGCGAGGGAAGGAGGACAGGGGAGAGCAGCTTCTCTTCTCGAGGGAAGTTTGTTTAGTGGAAAGTAAGCAAGTTGTCAGGGGAAAAGCTGACAATGTTGATTCCAGCAGTTGTACTGGGAATAAACAGCCAAGTGGATTACGTTACAGAGAATGAGAAACGGCTCTGAGGATCCCATTTAAATGCTGGGCTTTCAGGAATAATGCGATTCAGCCACGCTTGTGGCCCCAATGCCCACAGCCCCCCAGGGCTGAGCCCTTTGCCAGCCCTGGTATTGCCATTCTACCTCTGTGGGGTCCCCGAGAGGTCCAGCACAGCCAATGTCCCCAGGAGAGCCAGAACTCATTGCACTGCTGTCCCTGGCGAGGACACAGACCTCTGCTGGCTTAAAGACAGGGGCTGGACATTGAATTAGGGATGGCAGCAGATGGGGGGGAGGTTGCACAGGACCTGCTGGCCTCTCCCAGCCCAGCAGCAAGGGGAGGGCCACCACGGGGCTTGCCATCTCCTCCCCAGCCAGAGCACATGACCCTCCCTCCCATAAAAATCAGATGCCTCCCTGCCTTTCACAGGAAAGGCACCCAGCAAGAGGAGAAGGGGATCTTGTTTGATTTATTAGTCTCTTCCTCCTTCCCATCGTCTGTGGCTCATCCAGCTGTAGTGATAAGGAGAACAGCTATGAAAGGACACTGCTGGCTGCTGGGATCCCATCCTTCTGCCCACTCACTGCCTGAAGACATCAGTCCTTTACAAGCACCATTAAATGTGTATCCAAAATGTGGCGGTCTCCTCCATCCTTTGAGATTCTGTTCCCTGGATAATACAAACAGTTGCCAGAAAAAGAGTATCCTCTCATCTCTGTCTGGGCCATTATCCCTTTATATTTGCTCTTTAATATTTACTGGGTTCACACAAAGTGCATGCTCTGGAAAGAAAAAAAACTCAGCTGCAGCTTAAAGGACTCCAAATTTAGTAATTGCTGCAGCCCCATCGACGTGAACGGTTAGCAGGGAGATTTCTCCAGCACTTCACGTGCTGTGGTATTCTGCTTAGGTCAGACTGTAGAAAACATTCTGTCCAGGGGCACCAAATCTGGAGTGTCTGTGTAGGTGCCAACTGCAGAGGCCTTATGAGTCCACCACAAGTTCTTGCAGGTCCTTTCCCTCCCAGCACCCAGTAATCTTGGTAGGAAACGGAGGCGGCCAGAGAGATGCTGATTCATACAGAGGTGAAGCACCCGAGGGTTTTAACACACCTGTGAATTAGCAAGAACTAGCCCCGGGTCCTGGCTCCAGAGCTGGTCTTGCAGCCTTACCTGTTAATGTGAGGTTGCTGTATGTGTTTGAAAACTGCTCCTTTAACAAAACCAAGTGCATCTGAGCTGCCTTTTCCCTCTGTAGCTCCAACATTATGTCAGGATGCTGGGCGATCTTACAGCCTTTCTGCTTATCCAGGGCAATGTCGCTGCGAACAATGTCTACAGCAAAAGGGAAAGAAAAAAGGGAGATGGCCAAACCTCAGCTTTCATTTTCACCAGACGCTTGGATCAGAACCAGCCAACACAACAGCCACACAACCATCACTCAGCATGAGCAACCCAAAAAAGGGTCCGAACCCCTGGGATCCACCTATCCGATGAACCTTGTCTGCTCGAGTCTCCTTTTCTCCCACAGAAAGCTCAAGTCATTGACTTTAATACGCTAATACAACCTACTGCCCCTTCCATCCTTCACCTGCCTAATAGGTGACCCCTTACAATGATGACCCCTCCCTTGCAGGAAAGTGCAAAAATCTCCCAACATTTATATTATGACCCTGTTACTGGTGTGTTTAACACTAAATAATGACAAAAGACTAAATCCCATTCTGGTGACCCCTGGCTTCCATTTACCCTTGCCTGTCAAAGAGATGATGAAGGCGGCTTGTTCTTGCCTTGTTTATCCTCGCTGCAGCTACCACAGCTAGAGTTAGGTCAGCATGGCTTATGACTCTTTGAACAGGTCTCTGTACCCTTCTAACTCCTGGTATTCAATTCAGGAAGCAGGAAGGGTATTTAACAATTGCTTTCCCTTCATATGAGCATTTTGTACATCATACTGTGAAATAAGAATGAGATATTCCCTCTCCTAGAGCTACTCACCTGCTGGGGAAATTGAAAGATGGAGATAGCAGGGCAGAACAAGAATCAAGATGTGTCCAGTCTCTAAACAGGAGGCAAGTGGTGGGAACTAGTCCTCACAAGGTCCCTTTCTGAGTTTAATAAACTCTGTAACATTCTCAGATCCACAGGCACCATATGCTGTGTCTAATTCTTACAAAACCTTAGGCAGCCAGCGCTGATAAGGAAGGATGGAAGTTGGAGTTCTTCCATCACATTGCATGAGGTCACCCTTTGCATCACGAGGTTGCGCTTTGCTTGGTTTCATTCCTGTCTAGCTAGAAGTTTTTGAAGGAGCTTGCTGTCAGAAGAGAGTCACGTCTTGCTCCACATATACTGTCCAGCTCCATTATTGTTATGCACATCAAGGAGCACCAAAGTTGTTTCCAATAGTCATGCTCCTGTCTTTCAAGGTATCAAATCTCAGGTGCAGCAAACGTAGGTTCAAAGCTCTTGGGCTAGCAAGGAACCCCCGCCAAAGGTGTGGTGGTGGACTGAAGACACATTATCTTCCTGCCTCTGAGCCTCATCCTAGAGTCACCATGCTTGTCTTGCCCAGGCAGTGCTCTGTCTCTCTCTTTACAGCAATGTTTGGGATTAACACAGCTTCTCTAAAGCCTGCCTAGAAAAGACTGCTCAGAACAGTAATGTCATTAAAGCCCCTGTAGTTAGGTACACAATTTCTCTCCTCCACCCACAGCTAGTGTGCTCAGGAATGGAGATAGGGTAGCATCCAGCTAGCACAAAAATAAGGCTCAGTATTTCCAAAGCCAGCACGGGGCCTTCAATGAGGAGAGACGAGATGGAGCAAGAGGAAGAAATAATGTTCCTCTGCAGCTAGTGAGCACAACCCCCCAACCATGTGCTTTTGGTGCACAACGCCTTAGGCAGACATCGAGTAAGATTTGAGCCTACCCAAATTCTGCCCGACTAAAGAAGCGGTATGATGATACAATCCTGAAACCCCGTTGTGTGAGATATTTGGAGAACTGAAGATTGAGAAACACAACCTTACCCCTCTCCCACACCAGAAAGTCTATTACTACAGCTACTGGTGTCACCTGGAGCTCATGCATAGTCATTCACCTTCCTGGGTGATGGATTTCCTGCTCTACAGAACTGAACGCAACAGCGGTACACCCCCCACCCCCAAGCCAACATGGAGCAAAACACATCAAGAAGGCCCTGGTGGTGGTGAAGGCAGAGAGGCAGAGAGGTTTAAAAATAGACGGTCAATAGACGGTCTCCAGTTCTCTTCAAACTGCTATAAGGGAGTCCAGGCTGGGACAAAATAACTTTGTTTCCTAAAAGCCATGGAGGGCTCCTAAAATCCAAACCAGGGCCATTGTGGACCAGTGTGAGGGAACCATCGACATGGGACCAGGGTCCCTGCCCTCCCAGTCAGGGGCCAGGACAGCACCTTGGAGAGTGCAAGGGGATGTGGCAGCAGGTCCTGTGCGACACCCTTACTTCCATCTTCGGGGACCACAGGTCACAGCAAATACATGGCTGTGACAGGGATCAGCACAGGCAAGTCAAGCCACATTCAGACAAATCCTTGGTCTTCTCTTAGCTGTTGTGGTTTATGAGAAGGTGTGCAGGGCACAGAAAGTGGGGGCACTCTTCTGGCAGCCAGCTTCACGGGGTTCCCAGAAAGCTGCCAGTGTGGACATTCAGGAAGCAGAGGCAAGACATGCAAGGTCCTGGCTTCTCAGATTGATGGAGGACCCAAGAAACTTGCCCAAGACCTAAAAATGGAGGTGGACCCCACATTCATTACAGCTCCAGTTTAAACAGCGGGCAGATGTCTGGGATATGGAGCTCCTGAAGGAACCCAGTACCTGCTCATCCAGACCCCAGCAGGCTGTACTCGGCACAGAGGAAGAGAGAAGGGCACCTCCGCGCCACACTCTTCTGAAACATGAAGGGAAGAGGGGTGGCAGGACACAGCTGCTGGAGGCTCAGAGGAAATCTCAGTAAGAGCGACCCAGGGGAAACAAGCCAGCAAGGAGCCCGCAGCCCTCAAATCTTAAAGAAAGAGAGAGAAAAAGGAAAGACGCCAGGAGCGCAAGGAGGAGGGTACCCCAGGAGGCGCTGGGCAGGGCAGTTCCCGAACGGGTGCTCCAGAAGGACACTGCCTTCCTGAACATCAATGCGACCAAAAAAAAAAAAAAAAAAAAAAAAAAAAAAAAAAAA